AGTAGAGACACCCAGGCTCTGGGAAATTTTAGGGAGGATACAGAGACTCAACAAATGGTAAGATAAGCTCTGACCAGGGACTTTATTCTGACCATCTGCACAAACAGCATACCACAAATAAGTTACAATTTGGGCATGAAAGAGAAAATTAAAAAAAAAACTTGCGCAGAAAGAACACATTAGTACTAGCATGTAATTGGTTAATTTTTTTTTTTTACTTAGGGGTGTGGGATAATGTGATAGGTTTAGTAAATTTGAAGGAGGTAGTTAGTTTTACCTATATAATGTAAAAGGAAAATAAAGCTTTTTGGGAATCAACAACAAGCTGCAAGACATCACACCCCCTGCACAACTGTGATGTGTACGGGCACCAGGAAGCCCCAGACAGGTGGATCCTGACAGGCCATTGGGTGAAATTTGTCCTGGAGTGGTGAGCATCATAGATTTGCTTGGCATATATATTGTATGTGTGTTGCTAATAAATAGATGTTTAGAGCACAGCTCTGTAAGGCTCTTTCACTGGGAAAAGGTCCTGCAGACTCGTAGAGCCCCAAGTCCCATGGGTAAGAGCAGGTAATTAAATTGAGCAGGTTTCTCTCTGAGCGCTGTGGGTTAGTGTAGGCGCCTTTCACCCCAAGCCCTCGGAAGGGAAAGGGCGGGGGTACCTAAATTGACCGTGTCACGCTAGAGTGCTCAGTAGGGTATAGATGGAGTGTCCTAGAATGTGTGGGTAACACTGGCCCATTGTAATGCTCCTTGCTTAATAACCACACTGTAAGTAGGGTTTGGGTCTACTTTTCCATGCTTCTTCAGCCACTGTTCACTTTGACCTGCCCAGCAAAAATGATTGCCCTGAAAACAGGGTCTTATCCCTTTCAATCTTAAATTAGTGGGGACTTTTGGTGCTACTGTTAGAGACAGGATACCAGACAGATAAGGAAGGGTAATACTTATTTCATTATTTCACATTTGATGCTGGACTGTACTGTTCTTTAATAAAATGGTAAATCTTAGCATGTATGTTGATGTTAGGATGTCTTTTTTTTTTAAACAAACAAATAGCAAAATAAACATCCATGTAAATTTTGACACAATGGTCAAAAACACAGAGCTGAGTTAAATCAAGCTCACTCATGCTCCTTTTAAGCATCTTTTCTGAATAAAAAGTGTCTCCCATAATACCAATTTTATTTTGCATTACAACATTTTTCAACATCTCAGAATCACCAACTCTTTCCTTTTCCACTGCTTGGTTCCCTCACTCCCACCACTATAGCCCAAGACTTTAATCCACCCTCCCTTCCTCCTGGCATGCTCTCTTCTTCCAGCTAGAGACATGACTCATGCTGCCTGGTATTGTGCATCAATAGCCCAGGGATCTGACAGACCCCTAAAGTAGTTTGTTTCTGTATCCCTAATGGAAATAGACCCATGGTTTTTTGGCACTCAGATGCCTTGCAGTAATACATAATGACCCATCTGAATCTATCCCCCACAGTAGCACAGATTTATTGACAGATCACAAACACAGTTTTGCTATGAAACAGCCCAGGAGCTCTTGTGAGCATTTTCTGATATTCCCAAGATGGAGCCTGAGGCAAAAATCTTTTTATTTACATAAACATTGGAGGAAGACAAGTAAGAACAACGTTACAATTAACAAACATGTTGGTTTGAAAAACCTCTTCAGCCTCCCTATGCCTTACCAACCAGATCAGTGGTTCTGCATCATTTCTGCTGTGTGACCAGCAAAATACACAGAAAATCATCCTGAGACTCACCCTATTCTGCAATCCTTTGGTGATAGAAAAGCTCATGGGATTTGGGACACCGGAAGAAACAATGGGAAGTTTTGGGGTACTGTAGGGTAGGAGAGAGGTGGCTGGGTAGTATAGAGGGATGGCTGGCAGGGATGCTAGGTTTGAGGCTGGTTCTGGGTTTGTAGCTAACATCTCCAGTACACCCACCACAGTTCAGCTTTAGGATAGTGTCAGGTTTTACCTTAGCATGTGGTATCAACACAGACTATAATCTCTGGATATAAGACCAGAGAGCAAAAGAAAAGATGCCATCTCTCTACTCATATCCATGTAGGTACGATCAATTACAAATTCAAGGCGTTTCACAGTTCCCAAGTGTTGGAGATTCTGGCTACTGCAATGTTCATCTGCATACATGATTTGGATAGCTGGAGGTAAAAAGAGGTAGGAGTGGAGTGAGGGGGGATCAAGTTCATTTAAGGTCACATGACAAGACACAGATGCACCTCTCTCACCATTTCACAGGCCTTGAGGCTACAGGATACATTTTAAAACATTCTTTACCCCCCAAAGATGCTTCCTTATTACTCTACAAATCTTTTCAGGTTTCATCAGGCCCATTTTTCACAGCTCTCGATGTCAGAATCACCCAAAGCCTTTCACAGCTCTCTTCATGTTACCATAGTAAAAAAAGAGATCACTGAAGAGTAGATACTGGATATGAAACGTTGAGATGTTAAGACCCACATATCTCCCGTTGCGCCGAACCTTAAAAGAGAAGGACACTGCCAATACTGAAATATAAAACAAAATAATTAGTTACAAATGCTGACATGCAGATAAAGACCAGCTAACATCTGATTTGTTTTTCAACAATCTTATCTTGCTTCTTGTCAAACTCTGTTAGCAATGCAATGCAATGAATGAATCCATGATACACCCAAATCTTGATTTCTCCATGCAGATCTGAACACCCCATCTCAAAAAAGATATATTAGACTTAGAAAAGCTGCAGAAAAGGGCAATGAAAACAGTCAGAGGTATGGACAGGTTTCCATACAAGGAGAGATTAAAGAGACTAGTCAGGTTAGAAAAGAGACAGCTAAGCAGGGATATGATAGAGGGCTATAAAATCATGTGTGGAGAAAGCGAATAAAACTGTTATTTACCGCTTCTCATAACACAAGAACTAGGTGGTCACTCAATGAAATTAATAGGCAGCAAGTTAAAAACAAACACAAGAAAGTACTTCTTGACGGCACACAGTCAATCGTGGAACTCATTGCCGGGAGATGTTGTGAAGCCCAAAAGTATAACTGGGTTCAAAAAAAGAATTAGAGAAGTTCATGGAGATTTGGTCCAAAAATGTCTATTAGCCAAAATGGTCAGGGACACAAATGCATGCTCTGGGTGTCCCTAAGCCTCTAACCCAGTAGGTCTCAAACTTTTGTACTGATGACCCCTTTCACATGGCAAGCATCTGAGTGAGAACCCCCCCCCCTGTTATAAATTAAAAACACTTTTTAATATATTTAACACCATTATAAATGCTGGAGGCAAAGTGGGGTTTGGGGTGGAGGCTGACAGCTTGCAACCCCCTGAGGTGTCCCGACCCCCAGTTTGAGAACCCCTGCTCTAACCAGAAGCTGGGACTGGATGACAGGGATCACTTGAAATTGCCCTGCGCTGTTAGTTCCCTCTGAAGTACCTGGCCCTGGACACTGTCTGAGACAGGATACTGGACTTGATGGACCATTGGTCTGATCCAGTATGAGCATTCTTATGAATGAACTAGCTGCCAACTTCACCAAAGAAAATTGCTCAGAAGCATGAAGTAACATATCTTCTACTACATCTCTTTGCACTCCATCTTCCCCTTTTCTTTTGTGTTCTTGTCATTGTCCCCTTTTGGGTAGCCTTTGTCATGCATTTGCCTTCACCTGAACTTTTAATAATAGATAGATCCTAAGAAGGATCTTTGTTAGTTTCTGGCATTGGTTTGCATTATTATTATACAATGCATGGTTATTATACAATGTAACACCAGCCAAGTTTCATGAAAACTTAGCTGCCTCCCAGCAGAAATCTGATGACCATTCGCTGAGTAAACACTCATTCTGAACTCTAGCAATAACTGCCATAGTAATGGTACAAAACTGGGTTTTATTTTCTTTTAAGTCTGTGCACCTTGACATAAGACAAAATTCCATTACACAAGTTTTCCACTGCTTTAATCGTTTAAAATTCACAATATATTGAACTATACTGAATTTTACATGCAAGTGGCATTTGTTACATGTAATACTAATAAGTTAAAATCTCACCTCTTTGCTGAATGTAACAATTCAAATCCTTCATTGATTTTGTCCAATGGTAATGTGTGGGTTATTAGCACATCTTGATTAAATTTTTTCTTCATATAACTAGACACTAATTTTGCCATAGAATCCTTGGTCTTCCCACCTGGAAAAACAAACAAAAAACCCCATACACAATGCACAGTTGAACAAACACAGTTTGAATAAGTAATGGTGAGACTCCTTGTCTCATCCTGAAGCACAGTGAGGACTTAAGGCAGTGGGACAGGTGTACGTGCTGAGAGAGGTTCAGTGAGCAAAGGAAGTCAACACACATCCTTCAGCTTGTGGACACCTAGATATGCCAAGGAGCATTATGCCATACTCTCCAGTGCATACACAGGACCGGATGCCTGAGGTGCTAGAACTCACAGATTTGCCCATGTTTGTCCACCTGTCACATCCTGTGTGACACCCAGACTGTAAGCTCACAGGGGAAGTGGCTCTCTTCTTTGTAATATGTCAATACAGCTACCGGCACAGTGAGGCCTGATCCCTGACTCAGGTTTACAGCTATTACCATAATACAAACAACATTACATAATACACCAGCAAGCCTGCAAATACAGGCCAAATTTTCAAAAGAGACTAGTGATTTCAGTGCCCAACATAAGCACCCTCCCTCTGAAAATCAGGCCTCTTTAAAGTGTCTGTCTTGGGTCCTAAAAACTGAGTTCCATTTTTGAAAATGTCAGCAACTGCAACTAAATGCAATTATCTGAATGTCTAATTATTAAAACACAGCTCAATGTCTGTATATTTCCAGATACATTTGTGTCTGCATCTATCTGGTACACCTCATGATTATTTTATTAAGAAAATGTGCAGAATGCTATTTTTAGTTGTATTTCTCTTTAAAAGGCATCAGATGACAAGTTGGAAGTTCTGAAACACACATTTTATGATTAAACAAAGCATAAAACACACTTTGTAAACAGGAGATTAGTGAATAATGAATATCAAACAAATAATATTTTGATTAGAGTACATTGGCTCCCATGAAAAGACGTATATTCGTGTGGCGTGTGATCTACAACCCATTGAAATCAATGAGCCTCTTGAAGAACAACTATTCTCCAAACATTTGGGTGGGGAAAAAAAAATCTATTTGCAAGAATGTTCCTAAAACAGCACATAAAGGGGGCACAAATGTGGTTGAACGGAGCAGCCATTTGGAGTTTGCACGCTGTTTTCATGGTATTTACTAGCACAAATATTCAGATAGATATTTAATAAAATCATGGAAGGGAAAATGGAAATGTTTTATGATGTGCATAATAGATTGTACAAAATATGTGGCTGTGAATATGAGCCAGCTTTTCAAGCTTAGGCACATGCAGTTACACATGTACATATCCATATTTCTAGGCATAATTGTTTTTTTTCTTCATGCAAACTTGGGTTTTCGTGTTCTACTCTGGCAGCAGCAGAATTACCATTCACTTTTGTATTCCATTATATACAGCAATAAAATAGCCAGACTAAACATTTCACAAGCAACTGAACAGGTTAACTAAGATGGAAATGTTCATCCACTTTTGGCACTTTTGCTTATCTCCATGCGCCATTAAGACTCTCTTCCCAGGGATGTCCAGTGAATGGCAGCATAGGGTCAAAGGATATCTAAAGAATGTGTTCCAATCATCATACACCTTCCAGAGCCCATGTGGCAGGATGCCAAGGTAGCTGCCTGGTTAAAAAATGAATTAAGACATCACACAGGTTATGAAAAAAAAAACCTCCCCTCAGTATTACAGTGTAAATTTTGCCTGATGAAATAAATCTAAAGTCTATTATTTGGAGTCTGAAAATCTTTTATACATAAAAAATTAGCCTATCAAAAATACATTTTATCCAGCTCTTATTTATATAGCAAAATGCTTCCTCCTCTCTGTATAAAACGCAGCCAAGACTTTGCCCTTGTTTCAGGGAGCTCTTACTTGAACTGGTCTTGAGGTTGGCCTGCAGATAAGGAGGCTCCTTGTTAGGAGTCTTGTGAAGAATACACAAATACCAAGTCCAGCCATCAGATGAAGACTACATTCATTAAGTCTGCTCTAACATTGGGCCACTAATGAGCAAAGAAAGTATGTGCCAACCTCACATACCATAGTAGCTACGCATCCAGTAACTTCAAAAGAATCGTCCACACCATGCCCAGTCATCTCAACCAGCACCTCCTGAATAGGTTTCTTGAAGTCCTGAGGATTGATGCATTCAGTGGCTCCTAACTCTCTAGCCTTGGCAAATGTATCTTTGTTGATGTCGATCCCAATGATCCGGGAAGGACCAGCTGCCTTACAGCCAACAACAACGGAGAGGCCAACTCCTCCCAAACCGAAGATGGCACAAGTTGAACCAGGTTTAACCTGCATAACAATAAAACAGGGGACTCCGTAAGAATCCATCCATAAATTGTAGTCCTGGAACACAGAGGGGAAAGTTTTCTGCTACATACAATGCATTAATATGCTAAGAAGGCAATTGTGCCATTTGTCCTTGAAAAATGTGTGCGCAAGTGCACCTGCACGCACGCACACACACACGTACTCACTTTGGGAGTATTAATGGCAGCCCCATAACCAGTGGAAAATCCACAGACAGACAGAATCCATCCCGAGGAGCAGCAACAACAATTCTTGCTAGGGCAGAATCAGGCACAACTGTGTATTCTGAGAAGGTGCTGACGATCCACAGGAAATGGTGAATCTGCTGGTCTTGTGTGGCATGAGGTTCTGTGAATCAGAGAGGCCGCCAAAAGACATCTGGACTTGTCAGTAATATAAGGCATGACTAATATTGTCAGAATCACTGAGGGTGGGACTCAGGTAATGGAGAAATTTAAACTCATTGTGTCTTCTGCCAGCAGCTGGTGTTGGGATTCAAATAAGAGCAGTGGGGGAGGCCAAGAGGAACAAGACTTTGCTCCTAGAAAAAAAAAAAAAACACGGAACAAATCTTGTCATAAGCATCTTCTGAACCACAGACTCTATATTAACCCCCCAGCAAACAAGTCTGCTGTCTTTTGCAGCTTTTCAATCAAGTTTTCAACAGACAGCATCATACATAGAATAATCTGCTTCATCTATCAGCTGGAGATTGAGAAGGAGAGGTTACTTACCTTACAGTAATTTGAGTTTTTTGAGGCGTTTTGTCTCTACGAGCGTGCCACTATAGATTTGGACATACCTGTATGCTCTCAACTGGAGACTGCAAAGTAGTATTTACGGGCTTGCACCTGCCCAAAATGACGCCTCGTGCTCTAAATGGGGACATATAAGGAGGTGAGATCCTGCCATCCCTCAGTTCTCTCTCGATCATGAAGCCTCACTCCACAGCAGAGAGGAAGGAGGGTGGGAGATGGAGCATCCATCAGGACCAAACATCTCAAAGAACTCAAGTTACTGTGAGGTAAGTACTCTCTCCTTCTTTGAGTATATATCGCTATGGGTGCTCCACCAGAGGAGTCTCCCAACTCAGTGAGGAGGTAAGTCCAGGACAGTTCGAAAGACTGCATCATCAAAGGCTGTATAATTTCTGGAAGCAAGTAAGATAGTGTAATGCTTGGTAAACGTCTGGAAAGAAGACCAGGTTGAAGTCCTGCACATTTCTATTATCATGGTGGTAAGGTATCAGTGGATGGAAGCACTCTTTTTCTTGACATCCTATAGAATTTGTTGCCAAAATGGCCCCACAAGTCCTAGTAACCCCACTAGGGAGGGGATAGAGGAAGGGTCTCCAATGATAGTCATACTTTCTGGGCCTCCAATGTCTGGTAGGATACCCAGGACCCTCTTCATTAGAGGGACTCAGAGGAGTACGACGGTATGGTGTTGGGATGTACCAAGATCTCAAGTCGGATGAATCCTCTCCTGAGCTAAAGTGATAGGGTGGGGGCTTAGGTGTCCTGGCTGGTATATGGAAGGCTAGAAACATAGACAAGTCTCAACTTACAACTGTCTGGACGATACCAGTGAGGGTGCTCTGACAAATCTCTGTAACAGTGGAGACTCAGGCTCATCAGAAATTACAAGATCCTCTGAAGACAGAAATCTTGAATGAGTCATAGGACTCTAGTAGCATATAATCAAGACTTGGGTCAGTACTGGAAGTGGGACTATCAACCTGTGGAATGGAGACTGCGGTGGTATCAGGCAGGTCACAAGATCCTCCTCACCGAACTGTGGTAAAAGACTGGTACTTGTGGTTATCGCGGTGCTGCAAGAGATTGGTCAGTACCGCTGCAGTAGGTGCTGTGGTGGTAGAGGGCTTTTTCTTATGTGGTACCAATGCCTTGGTACTGGACTCAGCTGAGGCATCCACTGTACCCTTTGAGGGACATGAGGTCTCCCAAGAGTGGGTCTTATGGGATGATCTACCCCTATTCTTTGTTTCTCTGGTTCTTTCAAGTCTTTACCTCCAGGGTCACAGATAAAGCTGTAACAGTAACTGAAGCAGCCTGTGATATTAAGGGGTAGTGGACCCCTCTAAAGTTAGAGCACGTTCCATTAAGGAGCTTTAGTCTAGCCTCCCTGTCTTTTTCAGACCTGCCTTTGAACCAGACAAACAGACAGACTTTACCCTTTGAGGGGATATGGGAGCCCCCCAAACACCACAGGAAACTTGAGCGTCCATCATTGTGGGGAAAAGATCCGTGACAGGTCTAGCAGGGTTTAAACCTTGGGGGTTGAGACATAACATTGTGCTCCAGCACAAATGAAAGGTCCAAAACTGGGAGGAGGCATCCCCTCCCCACCCAAGAGCACAAACGTGTTAAATAAATAAAATAAAGTTTAAAAAGGGGGCTTTCTTCAGTGAGCAAAAAGCAGGGAGCTGAGTATGGCACAAGCAGAAGCTGCAGGCAGTTGAGACGGAACTGAGTGGTGAGAGGCACGTGCCTTCCGGTATTCCCTTGTTCAAAACATGAGGTGTTGCTTTGTGCAGGCCTGAAAGCACTACTTTGTAGTGCCCAATCAAAAGCATGCATCCTTTGGTAGAGCACCCTTAGTGCCATGTTTTCAAAGAAGAAGAGATGGTTTCTTCAAGAAATAGCCAATTTTGTACCTCAGAGGGCTGATGAGATGGCTGTGCTTGGATTGTCATTCAGAGCTAAAATTCTTGAATATCTCCAGTTCCCTGGCAGAGTTTTTCCTCAGATTCTGTTCATTCTATTGGGATGATTGTCTGTCTTATGAATTACAAATTTAAAGAGAATCTGGAATAGTTACTAGATTCCATAAAGAAAATCAATGGGCAGGAATACACTGACCATGATAAACATTGCTTCATTTCTATAATTAGGACAGGATCATGGCAGCTACCTGAAATCAGCAGGATGCAGCATTGGTGGACTCAGTTCCATGGATGCAGTTCCTGCTGAGGTCAGAACCCAAAAGAAAATCTGCATCCTTATTTTTATCATATCTGAGTCTCTTTATTCAGAATGCAAAACGTAAGCCTTATCTATTGAATAGCTGTGATTTATACCCAGATAAAACTCCTGACACATTTCTATATGAACAGTATGTACAGGGGTACAAATCTCATTCTCTATTATTTTATATCTCAATCTAATGGCCTTTTGTCTTAAGTGTTACAGCACTTGTGGCGCTGTCTGTATAGATAAGTTATTAGTTCAATGAACTTACCCGTTATCAGTGGTCTCTTTCCACTCTAGCTGTGACAACCTTTTTCTGAGTAGTTGGTTAGAAGGGCTTTCCTGTTGCTGGCATTAGTTCTATCCTGAATTCTGCTGCTGTCTGAGAGAAATTCACCTTCATGTCTCACAGGATTTTAAGCATAAATCAAAGTGTTGCCAGACTTCTTATCAAGGTTTCTATATGTGACAGGTCACCAGGAGCAAGTCTGTCATTTGTTAGCACACCTAGTCTGTTAAATCTGATACTTCTCTGCTTTAAAACCAATAGAAGGTATCTACTCTGTATTTCCCTAAGTGCTTTGTGACCAAGAGCTGCATAATAGCTATCCATCAGAACAATGATAACTCAATGAACAGCAGAGAACCTGTCCTAGGCCCCTGTATTCAGGGACCTGAATGCCAACCATTGTTCTTACCAGTTACTCTGCAGCAGACATGTTTGAACCTGTTTCAGACTATTTAAAAAAATAGATTTCATTCCTCTTTGGCTTGGAAATGGAAACATTTTTAGGATTCATACTTCTGCATCTCAATAGCCCAAACTGAACCATTAAAGGTAAGTTACATAAAAATATAAGGATGGTCTTCCCCATCTCTGTTAACCCTTAGCATCCAGAGCAGTTGCCAGGCACACATCATCTATGACCTAAGGGGTGGATTAAAGTGGGTCCAGACCCCCCCGGGTAAGGTAGGGGACATTAGACAAAATGGTGTGGTATAAAAGAGGATAGCTAAAGTGCTGCAATATCCTAGCATAGACAGGGCAATATATTAGCTATCTCCTTGTACATCCTTTTCCCTAATGTAGACATACTCTAAGCGTATGCCTGCACTTGGAGCTGGGGTCGGTGATTCCCAGCTCAAAGAGGCATAACACAGGGCTAGCTCTGATCGAGCTACTGTGATAAAAATAGAGTGCAGCAGCCTGGGCAGCGGGACACGTACCCAGCTGAGACGACAGGCACGTACTCAGGGTGACTAGCCCGTCCCACAGATCGTGCTGGGTGGGTCTGTCTTCTCCAGCTGGCCATCGGACAAAGGGAGCCCGGTCTCGGAGGCAGAGTAGCAAGTGGCAGAGATAACTGCTGCCTCTTGGCAGGTGCTAGGTTGCCTCCCCTGGGAGGAAGGCAGCATATGGAAGGGATACGTGTCCATCCAGAAATAGTCTGTGCGGCAGGGACAAGGATTTTCTTCCCTATAACGGCGTTGTAGAGCCATCCTGTACATGTATCTACACCCTTAACAGGTGGCATTATACAACTCTACCCAGATGGGTAATCTATCGCATTATCCAACCGATGTGTGTGGCCCTTATCATGGTATCTGCCCACTACAACTGTTAGTGGATTTTCTTTTCAGAATACCCCCTGGGTGGTAGGGAAGTATTAATGGGGGCCTAAGACATAGAATACAGAAAGAAACTTGCCAGTGGTCACACTAGCAGTCTATGGATGGGGCAGGACCTGAACCTAGGTCTGAGTAGAGCTGATGGAAATTCTGAAAAATTCCGTTTAGAAAATTTCATTTTTAAATGAACATTTCAAAAATATTTCAAAATAATAGTTTAAATTTTTATTTTAATGGCTTTTCACGTTTATATTATCTTTTATTTTTCCATTATTTCATGACACAGCAGTAGTATCAGTAGTACATAATATATGCCATGTCATAATGACATAAAATGAAAATCTATTTTATAAAAAAAATTAAGGGCAACTGCTGCAGTACAGACTGAAGCATCTTATTTTTTAGATCAAAGCATCTCCTGTTTCTGCTGCAATGGAAGAGTTCAACACATTTTCAGGAAAATTTGTTTTCACAGGAATTTGCATTGAAATAGATACAATTTCCTGAAAACTTTTGGTTTTATCGAAACAGCGTTTTGTGACAGAAAACTGTTTCAATGAAAATTTTCCAACCAGCTTTGCTCCTTAGTCCCACTGCAGTGCCCTATCCACTACTATCCTTCCTACCTGTTACTTGTGCAATGCTGTTAGAATGAAAAAATCCATGCTCACGCTGGTCACGGAATCCGTGCAGCAAACCTGTCATCAGCCATTGTCCAGCCATGCCAGAAGACAGACAGCAGGCAATGTATGTGGCCTAATTAAACCATAACATTATTCACTTGTCATATCTGGGAGGACCCGACAATAGTACAGTGAAGGTCATCATTGTCTCCTAAATCTTTGCCACATACGCCCCAACCTTGGTCCCAGCCATCCTGTTGCTAGGACCTCGCTGCCCTTCCCTCATAAGAGGATTAAGAGGGCTACAAAAGGAGGGGGTCAGCTTGCCACTGTACAAGATACAGGAGTCCCGAACCCTCATTCCTCAGCTCCCTTTTGGGATGCTTTCCTCTACATCCTTTTCTAATGCACATTATCTGATAGCCATATCCCTTTCATCATGAGTACCCGCACTGGACATTTGCCACAAGTTTTATTTTCTATGTGTTGACATTGTAACATAGCCCCCCACCCCCACCTTACCCTGCTGGGTCTCAAACCTGCTGTGAGGAAGGTGGAAAAATCCAGCCTGCTTTGGCCAACGCCCGTGGGAAAAGGGTGACTAATGTGATTCCCACAGTGGATCATGAAGGAACCAGTCCTTTGTTAGACACGATGGGTGAGAGGGTGGGTGCTGCTGGCCTGATCCAGGGGCAAGGAGGCTTCTCTGGGACTGCATGGGATATGAACACCTCCCCTTCCAGTCAGCAGAAAGGGCCGTTTCCCCTCACCCAGGTGGACCAGTCACTTGCAACTCCTCCCCGCTCTGTACAGGTAACCTTTACCCCTTCCTTCACTGCTGCTACCAGTGCCGGTGGAGCCCTTAAAAGGGCAACAACCCCTTTTCTTCCAGCCAGACAAACAAGGACCCACCGCAGAAAGTTGAGGTGAGCACATCGTGAGAGAACACGGTCTGGTCTGCAGTAGCAAAATATTAAAAAGGAAACATCTCTCGCCCCCCTTCCACCAAATATATTGTGTCTCTCCAGCCAATTTATCTTTGTCCCTCTTTTCAGCTCCCACTATACCCTGCACTCCCAGAAGCCATGCTCCATCAGGCTATGCTCTGCCCACCAGTATCCCTGCATCTATTCTCTGTTCTTAATCAATTCTGTTCCCCCCAGGCTACTACTTCTCTATCCCCTCCCTTCACAGACTCCAAATCCCATTGCTGTTACCATCCTTCAGTTTCCTGTAGGACTCCAACCGCTCATCACTTGCCCCTTTGAGACCACCCACTGATCCTATGCTGCGCTCTGCACTCTCCTCCCTACAGCAAAACTGATGTGTCCTCCCTTTGCCCCCGGCCCTGTTTTATTTAACTGGGCGGGTCTTTGTACCAAAGAAGGGCTGATCTCAGACTCAGCAACTACCTCCCTCATTCCTATGGTTGGAAAGCCATGAACAATCCCGTTATTGGTGCTCCCCGGCTTCCCCATAGGAAGAGCCAAAACAGAGGAACCATCCTGCTCCAGGCTCCCTATCATGCTTATTGCCTCGTAGAACAGTCAGAGCAGCTCCACTCCTGCAGTGAGGCAGAAGTGATCAGTGGGGGATCTGCTCAGCAGCTGCAGCAGTTGAGACAGAGCAGAAGAGCTGAGTGTTTCCTGCTATATGGGAAGAGGAGCACAGTGATTAAGATCCAGGCCTGGAGGTAAGGTAGAGTTCTATTCCTATCTCTGCCATACCCAGGACCACACAGGAAGACTAAGTCAATTTGTGGCTTGTCCTATGCTAATATGCAAGAAAGGGAAACAAAGAGCCTTCCCCCCTCATGGAGAGCAGCTCCAGTCAGTCAGTATAAATCTCTGAGCGCAAGGACAGCTCCATACTTGTGTTGCTGGTGCAGCTAGCTACCTTAAAGGACGGGGAGCCACGCCTGAAACCCAGTGTGAACATCCACATGAGAGAAACTGGAACTGGAACCCAAGAGCATACTTTTTATGCTGCTCAGGTACTTAAGAACATTGAACACAAAAGGTTAAATTAGAAACCACTGGGGTGAGGGAAGCACCTCTTACCTGTGGAATCTGCAAGCTTTTCTGCTCTTCCAGTCAGTCAATTCATCATAGCAAAGCCAGAAGAGTCAGCTAGTTGTTTTTAAACAGCTTAAAGATGTACCACAATGCCACAGTAAGGGAAGATTCAGGAAATATAGGACTAAATGCTTTACTCAAGAGATCATCATCATCATGTTCTTATTACGCCTCTGGTGTTTAGGGCCATGACGAAGCTCCTCCACGCCTGTCTGTTTCTTCCAAGTCTTTCAATGGTTCCCCAGCTGTGCCACAGGTATAGATGCATTAAAAGACTGAGGTTCTCAGATACTGGGGAACTGCAGGGATTGGAGGGGCAGAGAAGTACTTAAGATAGATTTAGGCTCCGATTGTGCAAGTAACTTAAGCATGTACACTTTATGTTAGGCATGTGTTTAGTGTCTTACTGAATATGGGCCTTAGTTCAGTGGTTTTCAAACTTTTTTTCTGGTGACCCAGTTGAAGAAAATTGTTGATGCCCGCGACCCAACAGAGCTGGGGATGAGGGGGTTTGGGCTGTGGGAGGGGCTCAGGGCTGGAGCAGAGGGTTTGGGTGTGGCAGTGAGGACTATGGGGTGGGTCCAGGGATGAGGGGATTAGAGTGCAGGGGGGCTCAGGGATAGGGCTGGGGCAGGGGGTTGGAGTGCAGGACGGGGTCAGGGCTGGGGGTGCAGGCTCTGGGTGGGGCTGGGATGGGGGGTTTGGAGTGCAAGAAGGGGCTCCATGTCTGGGGAGCTCAGGGCTGGGGTAGGGGATGAGGCACGGGCTTATCTCAGGTGGCTTCCGGTCAGTGGCGCAGCGGAAGTGCTTAGGCAGGCTTCCTGCCTGTCCTGGCACCGCGGACCGTGTTGTGCCTCGGAAGCGGCCAGCAGCTGATCTGGCTCCTAGGTGGAGGCGCACAAGTGGCTCCGAGCTGTTCTTGCCTGCAGGCACCGCCCCCTCCCCCCAGCTCCCATTGGCCAGGAACCAGCCATTGGGAGTCCGGAGCTAGTGCTCAGGATTGGGGCAGCACACAGAGCCCCATGGTCCCCCCGCCTAGGAGCCGGACCTGCTGCTGGCTACTTCCCGGACGCAGCACAGTATCAGAACAGGTAGGAACTAGCCTGCCTTAGCCGGGCAGCACCGTCAACGGGACATTTAACGGCCCAGACAGCGGTGCTGACCAGAGCCACCGTGACCCAGCGCCTTACATTCCATGACACAGTACTGGACCCGCAGTTTGAAAACCACTGTCTTAGTTCATAGTGGCTGCAAATGTCCTTTTGATCAGTGATTCTGTTCTCATCTGGGCACTGTCTTCACTCTACTCCATACTGGGTTTGTAAGACAAAAATCTAGAAAGGCACTCTCAATTAAAATCTAAAAAGTTTGGGTATTCTTGTGCATACACAGTATTTTACAGGCATATAAGCAACAACGGCAGAAACCTCTGGCACCATGCGTATTATTTCATTAAAATATATTAGAAGCTCTTTCTGGGCAAAGTGTTACATTTTAGATTTAACTGGAGTGTAATCAAAACCCGGCACTAAAACTATTGCAACATTATGAAGAGAAAATACTAACTAGGGCAAGGTAGGTGTTTTGGCAACAGGCAACTGTAGCATGTTATTTTAGCATTTCTAAACATAAATGTTGCTGCAGACAATGTGGGGGTGTTTTTTCTTGTACGTAAAACAATTTTAGGGGTGGAAATATAGTTGAAAATCACCTGACAAGTTCAAGCAGATCTAAGGTGCTGCTTTCGTGATTTCTTTTCAATAGTGCTGATGTCACTGTTCCCATCTATAGCTGCTGAAAATCTGTGCTTTTCATGGAGCAAGGACTCCTCAGACTAGTTTGTTAAAGGCTGCTTTTTTTCCGGATTATTATTTTCCACAACTGATCAATAGTTAAATGTGTAACATAAGATAGGCCATAGGGAAAAAAAGTGACGTTTAAATAAAGACTGTAGTGAGCTGTAAGCTTAACGCATCCTTAACCAAATGACATTTACTTTTAAATGAATTACAGGTCAGGACTGAAAACTATATTAATTAGAAGGATTATTTAAAATTTTTAAAATATGCTCTTCAGATCATTTCAATTTGCAATACTGTTTGTTTCCTCTGAATACTGTAGGAACATAGAGCGGGCTCTTTTGTAAAATACACACACACAAAACAAAAGCCCTCCGGATTCACAGAGCACAGCACAGATCCTCTTTATTCCAACGCTTCACAAAAGGCTCCTTTGATTTCAAAGATTTCTCAGGAAGTTGAAGTGCCCTTGTTAACTCAGCACTCTGCAACAAAGTGCATTGCTCACTCGTGTTACACACTGGAATCATGTTGGGGGTGTTCCTTCAAGTCTATGACAAACACCAGAGGGCGCTGCAGTGCTGAATTCTGAACTTGTGGGGCGTGTCTGAGTGGGGCAGGGTAAAGGTACAAAATGGTGTATGAAGAACAGAAGAGTGAAAAACCTCAGGAACTTCACATAAAACCATATTTAGATTCCTTGGGGAGGTGAAGGGCTGCTTTGCTATGGCCAAGGGTACTAGAACTAGCTGAAATTTTTCAAATGACAAATACTGTTATAATAATAAAAAAACGTTCTGTTCAGTTGCTGTCACAGCCTCATCTCCTCCTCATTTCCGTGCCTTTGTTAACTATTCCCTCTTCTCCCTCACTCCCAAGCTGTAGGTCGCAGCATGGAGAGGAAAGGCGGTCTCCCGGGGTCAGGCACAGGTGTCTAGGTAGAAAGACACTGTCTGGCACAGGTGTCTAGGTAGGGGGCAGGTAGTGATCTACACTAAGAAAAGGGATCGCACTGGCGACTTTTCCCTTAGATCAGGGGAGAGCCAGGGACCGATTGGGACTCGAGTCACTGTCTGGTCCCTGGTCTGCTCCCAGAGTGGCAGGGTTGTGCTGGTTCTTTTCTGGGGCTTGTGACAAATCCACGAGACATTAATTTGAAGTGTATCGCCTCCTCCTGAGATCCAGAGGATACAAACACCGATGTGAAAAATTAAGGCTAGAGAGATATTCAAGGCTCTAAAACTATCACAGATCCTACTTGCATCCTGGTAACCAGGAAGTGAGGCATCAAAACCCCTTGACATATATATTTTCAGTTACCTGAGAAAGCAGCCTCACCCTTGACATATGATCTATATCAGTGGTTCTCAAAGCCGGTCTGCCGTGTGTTCAGGGAAAGCCCCTGGCGGGCCAGACCGGTTTGTTTACCTGCCACATCCACATGTTCAGCTGATTGCAGCACCCAGTGGCTGCGGTTTGGTGCTCCAGGCCAATGAGGGCTGCGGGAAGCGGCGTGGGCCAAGGGACGTGCTGGCCGTCCTTCCCGCAGCCCCTATTGGCCTGGAGTGGCCAACTGCGGCCACTGGGAGCTGTGATCGGCTGAACATGTGGACGCGGCAGGTAAACAAACCAGTCCAGCCCACCAGGGGCTTTCCCTGAACTAGCGGCGGACCGGCTTTGAGAACCACTGCTCTATATTATATGTAAGTTTTTCTGTTGACATCGTTTCATTACACCAAGAGCGAGGAATGTACAAATGACAGTGTGAACTACGCATTCTGTGGTCAGTTTATCTGCTCTCTCTTAATCTTTAGTTATATTTAAGGCTAAGATTTAGTCACGGGTATTTTTAATAAAAGACATGGACGGGAGCTGGGGGGGGGGTGAAGAGAGGAGACGGACTACAGGGGAAGGGCCACTGCTGTGGGCACGTGTCTGGTGCGGGCTGCTGCTGGCCCAAGCAGCTGGCTTCAGAGCCTCTCCAGCAGCAGCCAGCGTGGCTGTCCCTGGGGCCACCTGAGCAGCTGACCCTGGAGCCAGCTGCTTGGGCAGCCATGGGGTCAGCCACACTGGCCACCACAGAAGTCATGGAGGTCACGGAAAGTCACCAAATCCGTGACTTCTGCGACCTCTGTGACAAACACGGAGCCCTAGTTATACTCCTTTGAAGTTTTCCAGTTTCTATTCTACTACCACTACAGGAAGCATTTCCAATAAAGGACATGAGATTTCCTCAGTAAATGTCCATCAGTGAAGTCAAGCTGAGTGATTTTTCGAGTTCCTCAATGCGGATAGGCTCCCACGGATAAAACACCACAACTTTTCTCTTCTCAGTCATGAGAAAGCCGTTGTCATTAAACCTCCCTGGTATATTCCCTACATCCAGCCAAACAAAAGGAGCGATTGCTGTGGTCTGCAGAACAAACGTATACAGGTCACCTTGCTGAGAAATAGTGGCCTGAAAGAGGAAGAAAAATAAAGTTAGTATTATTACAGAAGTCTGTGTAGTAAAAACAACTTCACCAATCAGTGTAAAAGTTGTAGGCCAGTGTAATGGAAGGTATTTTGAAAATACATTTGTTAAAATTATTTTTCTCCTCTCCACCTCCTTTATGGAATGTTCTATATAATTTAATAGGGATAAAGCCGATAAGATTCTATACAAAGCATCCCAGAAACCTACAGAACTTAACAGAGATTTATGGCCTTGCTACAGAATACTATAGGCTGGTTTAAAAATTCTATCGAATGTTATCATTATTTACTTTCCATAAGGACAGTTCCTCTAAAAATAATGGGATAAATTCTATACTGACTTACACCCAGTGCAATCCTATCAAAGTCACAAGGTGCTAGATAGATTTATTCTCGTGGCAAAACATTTCTCTCAACCCATACATTCAGATATTAAGGTTGTTGTCCCTTCTTGCTACATCAGTAATAAAAATCCGTGGAAGTAAAAGAAGAATAAATCAGGGCAATGTAGCAGGTCACCTACTGCTAGTGTAAGAAAGGAGGGTCTTTAAAATATATTTAGAATTGACACATAAGGCATGCTGTGAGATCTCAGAAATAGGTTTAACGTTTTACTGTAAACTTTTCAGTAATAACACTCTACACAGTCTAAAAACACAACTAGATACATTTTCACTCAACATTTTTCTTTTACAGAAGCATCTCTCTTCTGAACATTAATGGTACATAAAAAATCAGCAAGTTACATATTAAATATATACTAAATAAATGTTATGACAAAAAAACTGCTTTTTTTTTAGTTCGTAAGAGAAACAGCATACTCTGGATTTTTCTGTTTTCACAGTTAGATTTGCAGTATATTTTAAATAAGCTTTTGAAGTGAAACCTACCCCAAAACAAAGATACAAAAAGTAGCATTTGTGTTAACAAAGATATTTTAAAATGAGATTATGATCAGAAAAGTGACACTGTAAAAAAAAAAAAAAAGCGCCACCTTTTTACCCAACATATCTTCTACGTACATATACTCTAAATCATATTTGCTTACTTTACTGACAAAATTAATGCTATTATGTTTTTCTCCTGCTAGACAACACAGCTATGGGAGAATGAGCAGAATTTGCATAATCACGAGACTCATAAACTAAATTCTAACTGCAGAGCTTTTATTATTGGCAATGTCAGCTAGAAAGAATCTGTCTTTTCAGATTCCAGATTGAATCTGTAGTCCTGTCTGGAAAAAAAAAAAAATGGGCCAATTCTTTTCCTGTGCACGTTGGTGTGAGAGGCGAATCAGACCCACTTTTTTATTTGTTAACTGAACAAATCTGATCTGGAATCACAGAGGCAACACAGTGTAAACCCATCCTGCTTTTTAGAGTGTCTTTTCTGTGACTACTGAGGAAGAGTTTTCGAGTAAGGAGGCACGGAGAGCAGCAGCAACGACAGTCAGAGTAACATGGTAGAAAGGGAGTCTGAGAATCTAAGGCAGCAGGCAGTTCTGGGGGAAATAGCCAATAAAGTAAATAATTGTACTTATCACTTATATTGCTTTTCATGCAGACACAAGGATTGAAATGATGTACAGATATTGGAAAGTAACTGTAAAGCCATTATGCAAATCAGAACTCCTTAGCTGGAGTGCAGAATTTTGTATAATGCAGAAATAACCGTACAAAGTTGCATGTCAGTCATGCCACAACATCCCTGGGACAGCAGAGGCAATTCCATTGTAATATCGTTACCAATAACTGGTATTCTGTTCGGCATTTACTGTATTACTAGCAGTTAACGCTGGAAACTGATACTAATCAGAAGTTGGAATACCTGTCACAGTGCCATTTGTTAACTGGGGACAAAAAAAGAGACGAAGACGGAGACGCTGCATCAAACAAGTGGGATGTACTCTGATCGACTGAAATGCAGCCTTCATATAAAAGGGGGGGGGACCTAGTGATGTTTAGGCATTTCTTCAGAAACAACCAGTGAAGAAGAAAAACTCACTTTGAACTCCTCTGTGCAGAGATTCAGAAAAGCTACTGCCAAATGATTGAAGAGCAAAAGACATCACGTTATAGACACCACCCCCACCCCTCACAACTCCACAGCAGACAAGCTTGGCAGGACTAAAGAAAGTAACTTAGGACAGCTGGTGCTTACACTGAGCTGTGCTTTCTCCAATCCCACCGCATCCTTCAGCGAAGATAGAAAGTGAGAGTTGCCAGGACTATGGAGATCGCCTTTTCCCATAAGGTAGAAGGTGACAACACAGCTTTGCCTGGTACAATTCCCACATCTTTTCAGCAGGTCATTTACGGGTTCCTTGTAAATTGGGGCAGCACTCCCTGCCTTAAGGGTCACACCCTCTTTAGCAAGGGTACACACTGGCTCCATAGAACTCCACTGGTGCACACGGACCTGTGACAGAGATTAAGGGGGGGGTCAAACTGTTAACAGAGAAAACAATATCACTACAAAAATATCCCTACATCCCAGATTTTCCAGCTACTCACAGAATGAGACATTTTCCTGGAAGTACATGGCACATAGCCTCAAGATGATTTCTACCCCAGACAAGAAGAGACTTTGCAAAGATTAAAATAATAACGAATATAAATATTACCCATTTTACTATTTAAACTAAGCAACAATTCTGTCTCAAATAGCCTGAACATGTTGATCTTTAGGACATGCTGCAAAGCTCTTTTCTAGCTGATGCCAGGGGTGGCTGGATTGGGGTGTATTAGGGACTGGAATTGTTGGGGTAAGGGTTTATTGCCTCCCCTCCCTTTTCTGGTTCAGGAAATTGCTGGTTATGCTTATTTAAAGTTGACCTGTATTACCTGAGACCTGCAGCGATGCCTAGAGCTTTTGTATAGAGAATTTTAATATATTTGATCAATAGAAATGACAAGCCGTGATTTTAAGTGGAATCCCTGGAATTGTGTTAACACAGTGAAATACAACTTTGCCAGAGGACCTCATTTGTATCAACAGGACCGGCCTCCTGTACAAAAACTGTGATCCATTTGGCTTACTTTTAGCATGAGGCAACTGCAAAAGAGCAGATGTGAAAGAATACATGAAGAGGCACTCGACCACAAGAGGTGCTAGCAGCCAGAAAAAGATCCTAAAGCTCCTCCTAATCACTCTTTTTCACAAGTTTAAAATGTTCTTGAACTGCTAATCAAAAAATCTATACTAGAAGTGAATACTAGACACGTGCCTCTCTAACTACACCAGAGCTTTGGAATTACAGACACAGGCTTAAACTCAAACCAGAGACAAGCAACTCCACAAAGTGCAGCTCTGCTCTGAAAAGTGGCTTTGCAAAAACAGCACTGTGTTTTTCACGTTGATTATTTTTTTGCAGCTTACAAGAGTTTTTTGTTGTTATTTGTTTATTTTTAAACTGCCACCCTTGTAAACTGAAAGAATCTGCAAGGTCTTGCGGACAGGGCAGTGGACTGAGAATCAGGAGACAAGTTCTAGTCCCAGCTCTCCCAGTGACCTACTGTTTGACCTGGGACAAGTCACTTCTCCATTCTGTGCCTGCTTACTTTCCCACCCTTTGTCTGTCTTGTCTATTTATACTGTAGATGTTTCAACTCAGGAACTGTCTCTTGCAATGTATTTTTATACAGTACTCAATACAATGGGGCCCCGATCTCATCTGGGGCCTGTAAGTGCTACTGTCATACAAATAATAAATAATAATAAACCAAGCAACTATGGAATCTGAAAGTCAAACAGGATTCTTTCTGGCCCATGCATAATATTGCCCTTATACACATGTGCATAATCCTACAACCTTCTGCGGGATCACTCAGATGTAGCTTGGGGCATAATTTTAGGATAATAGGGTTGCATAGGAGGCCTGCAATTGAAACTGAGTTACCAGTTCTGTTGATGCCTCACAAGCCACAAAATAATCCAGTGTATTTTCTCAGAGCTGCATTGGTTCAGGAA